GCGTTGCACACACACGAATATATGTGTTAAACTGTTCTGGAACAGTGTTGTAAATACAACTTAACCACTGATTATTAGTCGTGCCCTCTTTTGGAAGGCCAAACAAAGTAGTTTCGCTTTCACAACGAAACACGCAGCGTCTCCACGACATTGCGGCGCGACAACAATACGACAGCGAGAATCAAAGTTACGCCTTCTTTCTTTGCGTGAATTTTGGGCGGCGTTATGCAAATCTTCCCACACTGTGACGTAGACATGTGGGGGCGTGTTTAAACGAGGGATTTTAGGAGGGCGTGGACAAGTCTTAATTTTTATAAAGAATATCTCTTTGGGTTTGAGACTTTAGTCTTTGAAACTTTAGGGATCTTATCTATTCACAATCAGCTTGTAACACTCCGAAGAGAAAGGAAAACTTGAAATCGCATCATATGATCCCTTTAAACATGTAAAGGTATTTAATAAAAAGGTTTTTACAAACTGTATATTGACTGCTCTCTCTCTCTGTAGGCCATCCTCAAACTGGACCTTTTGGAGGCGACGCATTGCAAACTGACTCACAGTCTGGCGGAGATAGAGGGCAAACCAAAATCAAGACATCGATTCAGTGACAGCATCACTAAATGGAAAGAAAAGGTAAGCTTGCTGAAAAATCACCTATTTAGTACTAGAAGCATACTGTTTTATTTGAATAAAATTATTATCAGCATGCATTTAAAGTATGAACTTCTGGGAATATAATTTTTTTTTTTTTTATTTATTGGTCAAGTTATTAACAGCATGCATTTTAAGTGCAAGCTTTTGGGAGTAAATTTTTTTTCCCTTCATTTTATGTTGATAAATGTGTTATCAGTATGCATATTTCATTTTAGCAAAATTATTATCAGCATGCTTTTTCGGTGCAAACCTTTTGGAGTAACACATTTTATTTTATTTTAGTAAAATTATTATCAGCATGCATTTTGTCAGTATGCATTTTAAGTGCAAACGTTTGGAAGTAACAAATTATATTTATTCTATTTTAGTAAAATTATTATCAGCATGCATTTTGTCAGTATGCATTTTAAGTGCAAACGTTTGGAAGTAACAAATTATATTTATTCTATTTTAGTAAAATTATTTTCAGCATGCATTTTAAGTTCAAACTATTTTTTTTTTTAGTAACAACACAAAAAGACGTTGAGCAAAAAAAGTCTGTAGGTACAGCAGGGGGACTGATAAAACATTTCTTTAAAAATAAATAAATACAAATTAAATATGGTTAGTGTCTCTAGTGTCAAAAGAAACGCCTTTAAATCATCCTTGGCTGATTCATTTGATCCTATCATGCACTAATGTAATCTTGATATATCCAGGACTGGAAAAAGATGTAAACATAAGAGTTAATTGAGTTAATTCATCACTAGTTTAACATAATGTTTTGTTTATGCTGTTCCTTTTAAACAGCCTACACTTTTTTGACTATAATATATGGGTTTCCCTGAGGCTGCTGGGTGGAGAGAGACAGTATTGCAATTTTAATAAGCCCAATTTAGACAAAAAACCCATCTATATGTTGCATGAGTTTTTAAACTCTCTCTGGTTTTGCTCCAGGACTGCGAGCACAACGTGGTGCAGCTTTCTCGACCGGTGAGGATCAAAAAGACTCCGTTCAGATCACGTCAGTCTATGAGGAGTGCTGTGATCAAAAAGAGTGCGCTGACCAACCAAAGCCCTGATACGACAAGTGAAGAGCCCTCGACTGAGACGACCGATGTCATGCATAACAACACAGACGAGCAACAGAGCGGCCCGGTTAACGGAAGCATGTCTGAATCTGAAGAGGATAAAGGTAAACGGCGAGCAAAACATGTTTACCTTCGTTTTATTAACACACAAACTCCTGATTTCATTTTTGTGTGTTAAATTCCCTGCACAGGCTCAGAATTCCACTCAGTCGGCAGATGCAAGGCTTTATACAGCTTCACGTCAGAAAGAGAGGATGAGTTAAACATTAATGAAGGTAATATGGCAGTTCATCTTAATACATCATCCCTCAGCACCTGCTTTCTGTTGACTCTCCCTCTTCAATCTGGCAGGAGACGAACTGGATATCTTTCAGAAGGACGACACGGGCTGGTGGTTCGGTGAGCTCAACGGACAGAGAGGACATTTCCCGTCCACGTATGTGGAAGAGCTGCCTGTTTTCACTGAGATGAAGTCCTCTGAAGCTTAGCTTCAAAAGAGCATGTGATGGAAAAGTCACTGATGATTCACTCGTGCTGTAGGGTTAAACACACTTCATGCAATTACTGGAAAAATGACTTTAGAAAATCATTTAAATGAATCGTTTCAACAGACTCATTGACTCCAAAGAACAATTCACTCACAAATCATGCATTAGTATGACTTGAGTAGTTTTACCGTAGACGATCAGAATCTAGCTGATTAAATATTTTAGAGCAGAGCATAAAATGTATTTGCTACGAAAATTTCCATAATGTCCGATAAAGACAATTTTTTCATGAAAGGAAGCCTATAAATTAAACCCATTATTGTGAAAAAGAAAAATATATATATTTGAATATAAAGAAATTATAATAAAAAGAAATTTACATAATGCATTGCAAATGTTTTAGACATTTAAGTCACTGTAGTATAAAACTAAGAAATTTCGAAGCACATTAAGACTTTTTTTTGTTTGTTTATTTTATGACTTGTATAAATGTTTATTGCTAAAATTACAAATCAATCAATGTACAAAGAACTGAAACAATGAAATATTGAATCATATTAAGTAATTGCTGATGGTTTAAGTAAATAAAAGCTCAATCTATGTGCTAATCATGTCTATAAATATGGTGTCTGGGTCTCTGACCGTTTGTTTCAAATGCATCTGAAATGAAAAATCAGCTTTTGTTCGTCAGTCAGGCTGTCTTCGCACCACTGTGAAGTGCCACAAACTCTCTCCGGATGTTAGCAAGGAAAGCAGAAAAGTTGTTGGTCTCCTGCAGTCTGCGCTCTAGATGTGATATTTTCTCCAGTGGAGGGTCAGAGGAGATGACTTGGGGAAAATATGATCATGTTATTCAGTGCTTTAGTTCTGTTAGTCATTATACACTACTGTTCAAAAGTTTGTGGTCAGTAAGATTTAAAAAAAAAAAAATAATAATAATAATAATTTTATTCAGCAAGGAAGCATTAAATTGATACAAAAATGACAGTAAAGACATTTATAATGTTACAAAAGATTTCTATTTCAAATAAATGCTTTCTGATTTCTGACGGATCATGTGACACTGAAGACTGGAGTAATGATGCTGAAAATTCAGCTTTGCATCACAGGAATAAATTACACTTTAAAATATATTCCAATACAAAACAGTTGTTTTAAATTGTAATAATATTTCACAATATTACTGCTTTTACTGTATTTTTGATAAAAATGTAGCCTTGGTGAGAATAAGAAACTGTAGTTTAAGTTTTGTTTAAGTAATAATTAATTTACCATTTATCATTAAATAATAAAATTAATATTCCTATTTATCAGTATAAACATGCAATGCCTGAGTCTAATCAGAAATATCCGAGATTTAATTTAACAAAATGCTTAATTTCTTTATGGTAACTACTGGTTTTTGCAAAAATCAAAGACAACAAACAAGTCAAAAGATAAAAGATGGGTATTTACTGTGGTAAACGTCCTCTGCATCCAGCTGTAGGAGGAATGTATGGGCCATGTCTGGATCTTTATGACTGATGTTCCTGAAGACAAACTGCAGCTTCTCACCTTAAAATAAACATAGATGTTGATGATACAGAAGCAAACCTTAAAGGCACAATATGTAAGATTTTTTAAATAAAATATCCAAAAACATTTTTTTTATTAAAATATCCAAAAACCACTAGAACAGTGTTGTATATTTTGCTGACTTGTGTACTTTCCTTATCCCAAATGTTTCGAAGAATGTTTAAATCCAGAGAAATAAGTAATTTTAACTAGTGACACGGACCGTGTCCATAGTGTCATTGTGTCGCCTGCCAATGACGTCATAACCCGTCGATTTCCGGTTTTGTTTTTTAGAAAACATGGAAACACCAAAGACGCTTTAATATGTTGTGCATTTTAATAGACCGGTGACGACCGCACAGAGTAGCATTATAACAGAACTTTCAAACGTAAAAATATAAAACATGATAAAACAGATAAAATGATAAAACAGCGCTGCTTTACCCCACATACGCACGACCGGAAGGAGCGGAAGCAGTCGACTGTGGCATAATAAAAGCTCCGCTGCTTTCGAGCCGTGTGTCGCGCTCGTTCAGCGGCCTCGTTTCGCTTCGACGGCTTTCAGCCTCACCCTGCATCATACTACTTAATAAATAAATCATTAGCTCATCCATGAACATGATTTCTGCCCGAGTCCCGTCGGATTGCGTCGGCTGTGGGGATGAAGACGAATAACTCCCATGATTCCACACTCAGTCACAGCGTCATCAAACTACGCCTTTGTTTCTTTGTTTGTTTTGAATACTACATTATTATTACATACTGTGAAAATTACATACTGTGCCTTTAAATCAAGTTTAAGACCACAAGCTAAAATGCTTTTATATTTAAATTATATAATCAGCAGCATATATAATCAGCAACAACAATTTGAGTGAAAAGTTAAATTGCTTACATTAGATTACCAACCTAGAAAAAGTGCCAAATCAACACTTTATAAATTTCAAGGTTAAAATTAAAGAAAATCATGGATTTTAAATGTGGTTTGTACCTCACTTTGAATTTGAATGATGCATCTAATACATAATGAAATGGAAAAAATCACTTGGTACTTCAGTCACACTGTATGTTAAAGTTAAACACAAAGACTTTACCTTCGATTTTTTTTATCTCAAGACTGAGGGGCTTCTGAAAGATGTCTTTACATTTGTTCAGCTTCTTCAGTCTGTCCTTGTTGGCTTTATTTTGTGACTGAATCACTATAAAAATGCATAAAACAAACATTAGTAACATCAGGTTGGATAGAAAGCAATAATAAAGTAAACCTCTGTCCATTGTGTCTGACTGTCTGTAACATAACAGTCATATGCAGGAAAAAGACTTCACATGGCAAAATGAATGAACAAATATGAATAACAGAACACATACTATTTGTTTACTGGACATACAGCATTTAATTCAGAAATATTTCTAGTAAATGATTCACAAATGAATCATGCTTGAAGGCCTGTCGCAATAATCAATATATCGACTTATCGCGCAATATATGTACATGACCGCAATGATTTTTGGTGACGCAATATATCGCACATTATATTTACTTAAAAATTAATGTCACCATGTTTTCTACATTCCACTTGCACCTGTGTCTTTTGCAGCTTCTCGAACATAACGTGGTGTAGTCATGAGGTGCTAGTTCACATTTAAAAAATGCTTCTACAAA